CCATCTTTGTTAGATATTAAGACCAGGCAAAATTAATATTTCATTTTCCATCAGCCCCCCCCTCAAATGTTTGAGGTGGCTTTGGTGTAGAAGGTAAAAGCTACAAAGGGTCAAGACTAATGATGGGGAGCTTTTTTTAATTTTTTTTTTTTTTTTTGGCTTCAGCAGTATTTTAGCAAACCATCTTCACTGGTCATCTTTAGACTGTTCTAACATGCAAATCAAGCTTAGGTTTCCATCTAGAAAGCCTTAGGAGTTTTGGTTGGGCTCTTTGCGCATGACTGTAAGGTCTGGAGTGAATCAATCGAGCTGTTTAATTCAAAGGTGGCTCAGGTGGTCTGAACAGTACAGCTCAGGGCCCAGCACAGCTCTGAGCAGGAGGCAGCTGGGTGCCCATGCTCTCGCCCTCACACCAGACCGTTAAAGCTACCCAAGTCACCGCAGGGAGATCAGCCACCTCTGCCACAGCCCCTGCCTGGCGCAGAGCGGCGGGTCAGAGTTGTGCGTATTCTTCCACGTCAGCAGCCGCAAAGCCTCACAGAAGCTGCGTGTCAATAGCTCTTTGGTGTCTTCTGTGATCTTTGTGGCTCCTGCTAGCTCCCCCAAATTCACAGAGCTGGGCTTTTGGGTTTTTTTGCCAGGAATTTGTTTTTGGAGGTTTTGCAGTAAAGGATTGGAAAACAGCTCTGCCCAGCTCCCCATGGCTAGCGGTAAGGAGATGTGCTGGGTACAGCAGCTCCCACCATCTTCTGACAACATCCTTCTCTATCTCTAGAGCTTCTTGCATCTCCCTTTACCCTCTTGGTACCCTCAGACTCCTCTGAGGAAGAGGTAGGCTGGGATGCCTCCGCAGTACTGCCTGGGTCTCACTCCCAGCAACATCTCTCATGGGTTGAAGACAAAAAAAATAATAGTATCTACATGCTGTATTTCTAATTGCCCTCCCTCTCCCCACCCTCCCCGAGCAGTGCTGGAATGCAGGCTGGGACACAGATCTCCCCTCCCAAGCTGGGGAGCACTGCGTAGCCTTCAGAGACAAACCAATGGAAAAAGCAAAGATTAATTTTGACTGGCCCCTAGATCTGTTGAGGTCTGAAACTGTAAAAGTTTATGTAAACAATGAGATAAATATATTAGTACTTTTCTGAGCCAAGTGAGGTTCCATACTCATTCAAATGTGCTTTGGTTTAAAAAATAGTTTTGTGAATTTGGGTATGAGCTTCTTTATTATTTTATACAACTTTTGCTATTTTATCTTTTTTTTTCCTGTTATTCCGAAAACATTCTGGAACTAAGTGACTAAAGCATATACTTAAGCTGCCTGGCCTCTTTTTTTTTTCTTTTTGTTTTTTTTGTTTGTTTTTAAATTGTTTTATTCCTCTTGAGGCTCTTTGTGTATTTCAAAAAAAATTAAAATAAAATTAAAAAACAAAACAAAACAAAACAAAAATGCAACTCCCTCCCCCCCACCCTAAAACTCTTAAAATCTTAAATATGAAACTAGTGTTTTGCTTTCTCATTAAAATACAGAAAAATGTTTGATACAATACTATGTCGTACAAATGCAGTTGAGTGTTTAGGCCCCAAGCAGGCCTGAAACAGTCCCTGAAGTTTTGAGTATTATTAGTTATTCATTATTATTGTCACAATTTGGAAAATGTTGTTTATACTTAATCTATGGAACACAACTTTACACAGCTACTTGAAAAAAGAACAAAATTTCCTTTTGTACAATACTCTTGCTGTACACAGACTTTATGTCGTATTGTTTAAGTGCTGGGGAGGGGATAAAGTAAAAAAAAAAAGACGCTCCAAAAAAAGTTTTTTAAAAATAGCATTGGGTCCTGAAACTTTGACATGATTCTCAAGGCTTAAGGAACAAATGAAGAGAGGGCCTGGGGGGGAGAGACTATATCACCCACAGGCCTGCTTGTGAAAATGGAATTAAGTGAGGGGGAGCAGGTTATTTGCCTGCTGAGGAGCCCACTGCTTCCTCGTGCCTTGGGCTGCTCCGTGGCTTGGCTCAGACGGTCACAGCTCGAGCCGCTGTCCCAGGGGTGGCTTCTGCACAGACACCTGCCTGTTGTCCCCATCGTTGGCTGTGCGCCGCAGCGGTGCGGACCCATCTCGGCAAACTGCAAGGCCGTGAGTGAATGGGGGAAGCCCGCATCCAAAACCCCCAGAGGGGGACAGGGCTTATCCCCGGCCAGGCCCCTCTCACTCAGGAAGCTAGAAGTTGTTTTGAAAATCTGGACTTGATGGGTCCTTAGCCAGCTGGCAGCAAGGGGAGCCTGCTCTGGCTGCAGCTGGAGCCAGCGTGGGATTCAGCTCAGCTTTGGGATGGTTGGAGGGAAGGTAAAGGCAGGGTGAAAGTGCCTAGGAACTAATCTTGCACAGCTGTCCCTGGGCCCTGCTGAGACTTGCTCTGAGAAAAAGGTAGATGGCAAAGCCTTCCCTGTCCTCCCCAAAGATGATTTTGGGGACATTCTCAGGGGGGGTTGGCAAGAAATCAAGGAGAAAAGAATTAAATATATATTCAAAATGTGGAAGTGCTAAAGACACTAAAAACCCACCTAACTCCCCCAGGAGAAAACAGCGCACCTCAGCACAATTAGAAAAATAACGGAAGTCCATGCTCCCCTCGCGTGCTCCACAGCTCGCAGGCGTCCGGGAGCCAGCGGACAATGGCACTGGGAGGAGCACACTGGAGCATCGGGGAGAGGGGCGAGCGTGTTCCCTGTAACGTGACGCCAGGCCAAGGCTCGGCGCCTTTGGGTTGTCTATTGCTTGGAGCCTGGATTCCAGTTTCCTCAGTTTATTCAATTGACCCAAAAACTTCTCATGGACTAGTCTACCTTAACACAAAAAAAAAAAAAAAACAAAAAAAGAAAACACAAAAAAAAAAAAAACCAACAAACAAAAGAAAACCCAATAGAAAATGAAGCTTATATTTCTTTGTTTTAGTCAAACGTGCTCACTTTTTTTTATTTATTTTTTGGTCAAAACTGAAAAAAATTGGTTTTGTTTTTTTTTTTTTAAAAAAAAGACAAAACGTGAGGTTTGGTAAACCTTACGCATAGCGACTGTACTGGTTTGAGTGAAAAAGAAAATTTTTAAAAAAATGAAAAAACACAAGTGTAAACCTTACTCAATTCAGAAGGGATGATTCTACTGGCTGTGAATTTTTACCACCACAGTCATGGGAGGCTTGAAATAAGCCACAGCTTTCCACAAGGTCACGCCAACAAAGTCAAGGGGGCCAAGAATCGGTGGGCTAAGTTCTCTGTCTTCTCTCCTAAACCAATAGCAGCTGTTGGCTGTGATGTCTTATGCAGATGTTGCAAGAACATTTTGTTTCTTTTTCTTTTCGTTTTTCTTCTTTTTTTTTTTTTTTTGTGTGCGTGTGTTAAATTGTCTAAAAGGGAGGATATGAAACACTTTGGTTTGCTTTTTCCTCCTCTCCCCCACCTTATTGCACTCTGGATTCTAGTAAATTATAGGCTGCTATGCCCTCACCCTCTGTCCTGCCAGGTGTTTACAGACTGACCCAGATGTGCTGGGGGAGTGGAAGATGAGGGGGACATTTTCCCCTCCCCATAGTATCCAGATTCAATAAACAAAGCTGGAAAGGGCCCAGAAAGCTCAGAGAGGTTTTCTTCTTATATCTAAAAGTGACTACAAACAGCCAAGAGACTGCGAATGAGCCAGTCCAAGCAGCCAGCACAGCCTCTGGCTCAGTGTATTTTTTGCTTTGTCTTTGGCCAAGCTTTGCTTCAATAATTCTCTAGCTGACTTTCGATGGAAGGACGGGGTGGTAAAAATCCCTTAACTTTAATTTAGCTTCTACTTTTATACATTTAATTACTTACAATAAGAGAAAAAAAAATGCCTAATCTTTCACTAACCATCTTATTGTTCTCATGAATTCAAGAGGTAGCAAAGGTAACAAGTCTGTCCACACAGACTTGCTCTTTAGTGAGGGAGGAAAGCTAAAAACATACACACACACAAAAAATAAAATAAAAAATAATAAAAAAGTACCTAAGGAACTTGTAGCAAGTCCAGCCTACATCAAACCCCCTCCCCACCCACCCTAGAATTAACCTCAGACCTTCCAGTTCAAACATTCACATAAACGTTACAATGGTTTTTCCTTTAATAAAACAAGTACCTCTAAGCAAAGAATATTCATACGAAACTACTAGAAAAGTAAAGACGACCCCCTGCTCACTGAAAGAAATTCCCAGGGCATCCAGTCCCTGTTCAGTCATGGGTAAGGCAGAAGAGGTTTGTGTGTTTTGTGGGAAAAGGTGGCATGTGGTTACGTGTGCCAAGGATAAAGATCAAAACCAAAAGAGGGAGGTATGGTGAGCGAGGCATCGACGTTACTTCAAGCAAAGTACTTGCGCTGGTGCACACCTAGGTAGACTGCTCTGCCCACCATCGCCAGCCCAGGGGAAGGGTGGTGGGTTCCACCACTGCTGTGGCTTTCCCACAGTATCTGAAGGGGCTGCCAACCCTGTGAGATGGTCCACAGACACAGCTTCCGCGCTCGTGAATGCAATGCAACATTATTTCACAGCTACTTAGGCCACTGAAAAGGTCTGTTTTCTTTTTAGTTGCAAGAAATGCCCCTACTGAGATTGGTTTTAAGAGAGGAGGTGAGTAGAGTGACAGTAATATGAAAGAAAGAGGCAGGGAGAGGGGAGGCAGCAGAGGCTGAAAGTTCCCCGTGGTCCCCCTACCTGCTCCAGATAATCAGTATGGCAATGAAGTCAATGTGCGGAAAAAGAAATGGCATTTCTTGTCAGATCACCAAGATTTGGAGGGAGAGTTGGTCTAAATGCATCAGCTTGGCTGTGGACCTTTCTTTTTTTTAAAAAAGGGAAAAAAGGAACTTTTTTTTTAAATGTTAAAGCTACATTTGTTTAGGCCTCCCATGACTGAACAGAGTATGGGGAGTTGCCCCCTTTTTTGTTTGTTTTTTTCTTTTTTCTTTTTTTTTTTTTAAGCAGCAAGTCTACAGAAAGGTGAATCACTGCGGATGGGCTCGAAGCTCATTCTGGAGTCTTTGGCTTATGTGGGAGAGGTATGCATTCGCAGGTGGCTGATCAGATTGCGCTGCTGGGTGAATTTCCCACCACACAGTTGACATTCGTAAGGTTTTTCTCCTGAGTGGACACGCATATGCTCTGTCAGTCGGTACTGCCGGGTAAAGCGCATCCCGCATTCCTCGCAAGCAAAGGGCTTGAGCCCTAAGTGGCTGCGCATGTGCCGTGTCATGGTGCCCCGCTGCGTGAACATCTTGCCGCAGATGTTGCAAGGGAAGGGCCGCGTCAGCCAGTGAGTCTTCTCATGCTGCCGCAGCGTGGCTGGATCCTTGTAGCTCTTCTCACACACTGAACACTTGAAGGGTCGGGATTCCGCGGCGTAGGACTGGTTGGGGTTGGACAAATCCTCGGCTTCATCCTTGCCGCCGTACGTGCCTTCCTCCTTGATGTAAAGGTCTTCCTCAGTGTGCGTCTCCACATGGGCATTGAGCTGCTCGGAGCTGGGGAAGCCTTTGCCACAGGGGATGCAGACATACAGGTTGTCACCATAGGCCACTGGCTCAAACCCCTCCTGCCGGTAGACGTAGTTGGCACTAGTATGCCCGCCGCTCTCGCTCTCGCTCTGGCCGCTGTCGTCACTGTTCTCCTTACCATTTTCCACCTCCTCCTTACACGGGTAGGGTAGGTCTGCACCGTAGGCCCCAGCCAGACTCCGCTCCACGGACTTGGACAAGGGCCCCAGCAGGATACCATTGGGCAGCCCTTCACCCTCATCCCTGTCTTTGCCCCCCTCCTTTCGGTCAAAGGCGTTGTCTTTCTTGATCCACTCCTTCTTGCGGGACGAGTGCCGGAGGCCCTTGCGCTGGCTGCTCTCTGTCAATGAGTGGTGGCACTCTTCGCTCAGGTCCATCTCCATGGGGTCGCTGCTGTCTGCCATGCTGTGAGGAGCTCCGACTCCAGACTCGTCGAACGATGAGGCACTGTTGGCTGCAGGGGCTGAGGCAGATTGGGGAGAGCCGTGCTGGCTTTCGCTGTGCTGCGTGTCATCGTGGGAGGCTGCAACAGGGAGCGATGGGCTTTTTTTGGACAGGTCAAGGCCTAGCTCCTGGTCACCAGTGCTCCCATTTGCACTGCTGCCCCCCCCGCCATTCTTACTGGCTCCCCCCTTTTAATATTTAAGGAGTGACAGTTCTCTTGGTTGGAGCTGCTGATGAAGACCTCATCATCGGAGAGCTTTCCCTTTGACAGCTCCTTTGAGTGCGAGCCCTTCAACCCCTCATTTGACCCTGAATAGCGAGCTTGGATGACCGAAGCAGTGGAAAGTCTCTGACTCCTGGCAGATCTCCCAACACCAAGGCCACCGGCCTTGCCAGCAAAGGACTTGCCGTTCCGCTTCAGCTTCTTTCTGCAGAGAGCTGCCAGGTCGTGCAGTTGGAGGTAGCTTGCTGCGGTGAGGAGAGCATTAAAGTTCTGTTCACCGGGCTGGTCAGTCGTTAAGAGCTTACCAGTATAAATAAAGTCCAAGATCTGACGGAACACAGTGGGGTTCACCATGTCCGTGTCTAAGTTAATCAGGTTGTCATGCAGGACAAGGGATTTGAAGTACATGCTGCTGGCTGCCAGGATGTTCTTATGGGCACGAAACAGGGCATTTTCTACCACAATGATCACATCACAGAGGAAACCTTTGGCTCGTTGCTGGTTCAGCTGCAGTAGCAGTTGTTTGGCATGATTTGGCAGTTCCATCTCCACCTTCTCTTCCTTTCACCTTCACCTTACCTGCAAAACAGGAGGATGAGAGGTGTGAACCTGCTGTTTCCACTTGAACAAGTCTACATTTAATAGATTGGCTTAACACTGACTGAGGAGCTCTGGGCACATTCAGCCCTGCAAGCTGTGATCCTGCTTGGAGCACAGAGAGAAGTATTTCTCATGCTAAGATTTGATTCAGGTCTTTCAAAAATCAAGTTTGTAAATATCTTTTTGCAAAAGCAATCATCATTGGCTAGAATTACTGTTCAAAATATACCATCAGAAGAACAATGGTTAGGTACAGGGGAAAGCCATTTCCCTCTCCTGACACAAATCTGAAGGGAGAATGAGGAGCAAGAAAAAAAAGGAAGAAAAAAGAAGCATCAACTTCATTGCCATTTGCATATCTGAGCATGTAAAATAATTAGCATAAGCTGCAGCTTCCCTGCTTTAACATGTAGTTTTGTTTCTTGGCTCTTATATGTTGAAATCTTAAAACACCCAGCTGCTCTGGGGTTGAGAAAATGACATGTAGCAACTAAATCCATTGAAGATGGAATTAATCACACCGAGGTGTGAATGGGAAATCTCCTTAAGAGTATGAGAGACTGCTTTAAAAACCACCCCCTGGCAGTGTCCATATCCCAATCCATTGACATGAAGGGCTAAAATCAACCCTGAACTGACTGAAATTCAGGATGCTGAGCTAGCTAAATGCCATCAAATGTCTTCAATCTGAACTGTTAAGTTAATTCTGCCCTGCCTTTGGTTTTGAAGGAATTTTGTTAAACCGATAGAGTCAAGTAACACATCTCAAGTCACAGTCTCTCTATCTTGTATTGGGAGGAGAGGAAAATTGTGGTTTACTCTGTGTACTTCATGTATTTCACAGACAGTATTCACTATGTGTTTTAGTTTAGATATTTATATTGGCTTTCCCAGTAGTATGGACTGTAGGAAATACCTGGTTTGAGGCGTATCAGAACTAATTGCAATTGCATGTTCCATAGATACTACAGTACATAAAAACTAGAATTTAAATCCGGGGCTGCATTCAGGAATCCAAGATCAATTTTTAAACTTTTTTTTCTTTATTTTTTTTTTGTTTGAAAAGTGCCAGCTACTACTTGTAATGGATATTTGTCTGGTAAAGGTGATTTAAAATAGTTTCTGAGGTTCTGAGGAATTAAATACCAAACATAGAACAGCCACCTTTTACCTCCACTTCCTTCTTTCCTTTCCCAGTTCATCATATTATTGAAACAGATTTCTCTTATTGAAGGAGGAGCAGGCCGTAAGTTCATGGAAACAAAAAGCTTACCTTTTCTCTTAAAATCACCATCAGTTAATGTTTTTATTGCTTGTGAATCTTGTTACCACATTCTGTACCATCAGATTTAAAACGATGAAGCATTAGACTGCTCTATGTGTCAAGTATGTGTGCACAAGAAAAAGAAATAAGGAGTGATACTGTCAATATTAAAAATAACCTCCCTCAAACCTGATTCTAATAGATAGAAAGATTTAATTTGGCAGAAAGGTGGTAAAATTACATCATCCATTTCTCCACAACAAAAAGATTTTGCTGTATGAGGAAAGCTACAAAAAGTAAACTAATGAGATTTTCCCTCCAGTGTTGCTGCCTGACTGGCCCGGTACTTACACTTTTACCAACAGATCTGCCAAGCAGGTGCCTCCCTTCCTCCACAGGCCACATTTCTTCACTTGGTTAGCTCGTCAGCCTGGTACTTGGTTATGCATTTGGTAGAATTTTGTGGCCTCTGTTCAGTGCACCAGCACCTAATTCAGCATCCACACAGAGCTCAGTGGCTCGTCACCTTGACCCACAGCTGAAATGGCTGCTCTGCTTTTCTGATCTATGTTGTTTCAGCCATGGATGGGAACCCAAACTGTGCCTTTGTGCACATTAATGTTGTCCCCAGAGGTGGCTGGCTTTAGAGAGGGTGGCAGCCAAAAGGAGAAAATACAGGCTTGCCATGGTGCTAGCCAGTTATTTCTTCTCCATCTATGGCATTTCTGTCATGGAAACTCACCCTGCAGCATCACAAAAACGTGATAGAGACAGGGATTACCACCGCTGAACAGTGTTGAGCACTTCAAAAACAAGTTTTGCTGTAATTAGTTACATCAGAGTTGCAGCATGCAGGCAATGTGTTTTGTTCTAGTGGCTTGCTTCCAGAATTGCTGATTAAGAGGAAGAAGCAACAGCACAGAGGCACCAAATACCCACTTTTATCTAGCTAGGCCAGTAAAAGCACTTACTTCTGGGTCACGAAGATACATTGATAGGGAAGGACAAAAACATGGCTTGCCATAACACAGCATGTGTATATATATAAATGCATCCTGCTCCAGAATAGCAAGAGACAGCCTACTACTACACTATTTTCGCTGCAAACTTAATGGTGCTTTTCCATGTGTATAACAAAAATCACATCCAGGGATTCTGTAAGTGTTCCATAAAGGACAAAGATCAGAAAGGAAGGGAAGCAGCACGGCCGATATTTTTTGTCTAAACAGAATAGTAATAATAAAAAAGTATGTTACTAAAGTAAAAGTGAGCTTATTTCCCATTCACATGGCACTTGAAGCAGAGGTCTAGAAATCTCTGTATACATGTTTAAGCCTTTGCAGAGTCAAGGTTTGCTGAACCTACTAACAGGAAATATTTTTAGATTTTTACTACTTTTTTTTTTTTGCTTTCTGCCTTAAATGATACTGAAACCAGGTAATGAGCCTGCAGGGAAAGCCCTGGAAACAGGGGCAGAATTATAGTTCTGCTTTTTACTGACCTTTATGAGGAAGAGAACATTATTATTAAACCTCAGTATGTTCTGCAGCATAAAAATTAGCATAGTACAAGTTGTTTAAATTAGCTCTGTTTATCTTACGTCAGATTTTACAGAAGTATTCATGTTCAGTAGGACATAAGTATGAGGTAGGCTATTAGCTTTAGGAGATTTTAAAAGCAGTGGTCAGGTTTAAGCGTTATAACACTATGTTATCAAATTTAAATTTGTTACCTTGTCTAACATGGATTTAGCAACCCCAAGGAAATTAATATAATGGAACAAGGCAGCAAAACCTTCAGCCAAGTTTAGAGCCCTGTGTTTAAAATTTTGCCAGAATTGCCCACCAAGGGCTTTTACCAGGACAGCAACATGGGTCAGAGAACACACCTTTGACTGACGTACCTTTGTTGACAGAAGCTTTACAGCATCAGCCTGGTTTGTGTATCTTGTGCAGTCCTGAACAAAAAATAAATCCATTCCAGATATTTTCCAGAGCTGATCAGTTACAAACCCTTCTTTAGCAATGAGGCATTTCAGAGGTGGGGGAAGAGGGATGTGTTGGAAAACTTGTTAGCAAAAGAGAAGCAGGCATTATTTCTTAATCTATCGCATTCCTAAGATCTCACTTGTAGCTGAAAGCATGGGACCAAAGACAACTACGAAGTTAAGTCCAGTGTAAAAGTGAGCAGATCTTCCCAAACAAATGACAGGTGCAGCCTTATAAAGGCCTTGCTATCCATTAGTTTGCAGACACTGGCTCTTAACAAACACTGAACATTTGGATAATATCTCCACCACCAATAATGACAACAAAAGACCCAAAAAGCCTTGAAAAATCAGTGGTTTGTATTTCTTGTATCTCAGTATCATTTTTAAGACCCCTTCCTTTTCTGTTCTCTGCAAAAAGATAGAAAAAACATATTCCTAGTTCAGAGGAGCCCTCGCTCAGAAAAGGTTTTGATGCATTTCTAGGGGGAAAAAACAAAACAAAACAAAACAAAACAACCAATATTGAGACCTTAAGAATATCTAGATATCTCACTGGGGCCACAGGCTTTTATCATTTAATTTGGTGTGCAAAATTTCACTCCTTTGCATGTAAACCAGGATCACAGAAGGCTTTGGAGAAATAGCATTAGAGATGGGTGGGTTTTTTTCAGATTCAGGTTGCTTCCTAGTCATTCAATACACATAGGTTTCAGACCAATGAACCTGCTCAAATATTCTTGTGCAAGTAGGGAATGAAGCAAGACTGAGGCTCTCCACTAACTCCACCATATCCATGACACTTAGACACAGCACATGCAGAGACATGAAAAATACAGGGCACAAATCACAGAATACAGCAGTGCTGCAAGCAGATGCCACACATCAAACAGCTTTGCAAGCTAAGAGCCGATAGCATCTTCATAAGCAATATTGCCCAAGGAGCTGGGTAACTGTGAGCTGCTGTGCCCAGCCTGGGGCACGCTGGGATCCCATGGGCATGAAGGTTGAGCAGAACACACAGACTGCTCCAGGAGCTGTGCTGCTCTCACTACAAAGCAGGAAAACCTTAATTTTCTCTCAGTTTCCACAAAGACTCTTGGATGTCACAGAAAATTAGATTGCCAAAGTACAGGAGAAGAGGAATCCCTTCACCTCTTTAAGTACTATAAAAATCTACATATTCACTACAGATTTGATTCTCTTTAATATCACTAAATCTCTTCCTAAAAGCAATTGCCGAATGAATGCTAAATGTGTCATCTTAGCAACCTCTGGCAGGAGTTGCTATTTGATTTCATTTCTGAGTTATAGATTGCAGCGTATGAATATTGTTTACCTTTTAAGAAGCAACACCAGTGAAGCAAAGAATCAATCAAAAACAGATCTAAGGAATCACTCATTTCACGTAGAGGATTTGTGGATGGATGAGAAGGCTAGACACCGAGCACCTGAACAGTGAACTAACAGTACTGCAGATAAAAACCAACAAACAGATTAGATGTGATGTATCAAATTAGATGCTGTTAAAGCGTTAGCCTACTGTGCGTGTTACAATATACCTAGGAAAAGACAGTGGCCTGCTTACTTATTTCTCTACCTTCCCAAGCAGTCGCGCTGCACTGAGCAGGCACTGCAGTTGTGAGCATGGGGAAGAACAAGACAAAATTAAATTATTTTTTCTACATTGCTCTTTCCCACCAATTTACTTCTGACATTAAA